CATGCTCAGCACCAGCTTGTGCAGTGTAAACATGCTTGTGTTTCTGTTTTCCCACGTGTTTTTGCACATAGCCCTCATGCAAATTTTTAGCCCGAACATGTCCGTACGGAACAGGTTGCCACTGGCCGCTTTTGATACGCCTCTTGCCGGTGGCAGGATGGCGTTCCTCTTCTCACTCCGTGCAAATGCCGGTGTGCTGTGTAGCATCCTTGGTCGGCAGCGCCTGATCTCAAAAATTGCCAAATTATCTTTCACATTGGCAGCCCTAGCTTGTTCTTCTTGCCGCCGTTGCCTGATTTTCAATTTGCAGCGAGCACGGCCTGCAACATGCCTGTGTGCGCCTACCTTTCAGATTTTAGCCTTGAAGCGGGTGGGGGGTCTACCTGACACACCGGCCTGTCGATTCGTGCCACTGCCCCGATTTTTTGCATTGTCAGCGCTGTGTATGCGGAAGCTAGGCTTGGAACTCAGGTCAGCCCTCGGCTGGCTGCTTTGGCATTTCTGCAGCTGGTGCCTCATCCCTAAGATGCTGGTGAGTGACTGTTGCTTGCACTGGCTCACCTGTGTCAGTTTGCTGGCTGCCCCTGCTTCTGTGCGCTCAAGCTGTGGCTCATCTCCCGGTGGATGCTGCGTCTGCATAGCTGCACGTTGCTTGTGTGCGCCGCTTGCTCAGGTCCCTCAGCCTCGGGTCGTTTCTTCAAGTACGTATCTTCACGGTGCATCTTGGTGCCAACCTTTACTGCCTACACAAGCACTCGACGTCTGTGTGATTTTTCTATGCTGCCTCAGGTGCCTCAGTCGGGCCTTTTGGGCCGCCAGGCTCAGGCCTCTTCTGCCTGTCTGGTGTATGTCTATGCCCCGGTCACTTTGGCTGCTTTGTGCCTTTCTGGGTGGGTGGCATGCACTTAGGCGAGTTCTGGGCATACTTCTCGGCGTGACGCTCGCAATATGCCTAAGAGGCCGGCCGCGAAAGCCAGAACCACTGGCACGGGTGCCGCTCGCACCACAGTGGCCGACGAGGATGACGACTCGTCAAGCTGCCCCAGCCCTGCGGCTGTTGCGGCTCCCAAGTCCAGGGCACGACCCAAGGTCGCTTCGCGGCCCAAGCCGTGCGCCAAACAACGACGCAAGCCGAAGCCCCGCACCCAGAAGCCAACTCGGCCACCGTCCCCCAGGCCCTCCAGCTCCTCAGGCAGCAGCGACTCCACACCTACCAGTGATTTGGTCAGTTCTGACAGTTCTGAACGTGGGTCGTCGATTCTTGCTTCGCCTGCTGACATCCCGGGCAATGCCTTGCAGCCGCCGGCTCCGCTCCTCTCAACGTCGGGGTCTGTTCCTCATCACTTTGGTTCTTTCCTTGAGGTGTGTGTCAAACTGTGTCTCGGCAGGTCGTCTGCCAGCCAGCTGCAGGCACGGGCCTTGCCACGTGGCACACGACAGTGCTGTAAAATGCTGGTCCGGGCAGCTTTGCGCTGCCCGTGCCATTTCCAGCTCCTGCGCCATTGTCCCTCACGGTCACAGTCGGCGACACGGCCGTCGTCATCTGGTCTGGGCCTCGCAAGGCTTGTTGCGCAAATTTCTTGCCTATGTCATGCCCTTTTGCTTGGTGCCTAGCCTTGTGTTGCATTGGACTGAGGGGGCTAGGGCTTCCCTCGGGGATGTCGCTGCCGGGCATCATTCCTGGCTTTTGCATGCAGCTGGCTCTCTCTGTGCAGCTGGTCTCCCCCTGATGCTGTGTCTCTGCCTTGCCCTTTTCTTAGTCCTCAGGTGGAGCTCTGTGCGACAGAGCTGGAGTACCTCTAGTGCCGCTGTTCAGCGGGGAGGTGGGCGTCGTGCGGGCCACTTTAGGCTGTTGTTTTGCCTATGCCTCCTTCTCATTGCACCTGTGTCGGGTATGGATCATGTTTCTTCTTGTGCAGCTGATGCACCCCTTCCCCCACAGGTGTACCACAAGCGATCTTTCGGCAGAGCCGTTCGAAGGGCATCGGCCCAAGCATTCACTTTTTACAAAGGCAAACGTGTCTCGTACAGGGATTTAACGGGGCAAACTAGGCCCACGGCACCATGCCGCTTTTGGCCCACTGCTGCTTCGCATCGTGCGGGCGCCCGCCAGGGTCTTACTGTGGCTCCGTCTGGACGTCGCCTCCGGTTGTTCTG